CAACATCATATGCCCTGAATTCTCTTTTGTTTTCAGATTTATGTATACACTGTTTAGAGATATTAACAATTGCAAAAAACTTATACAGCACTTTAACTGGCAACACTCTTAAAGTTTTGTAATTAAGTGAAGATGAGCCTTGTCTCTCTTTTTTATCTAAACATATTCTAACCACTGAGTTCTGTTGTACTATTAGAGGTCTTATTGCATTATCCATACATCCTCCCAAGATTATTAAACCATATTGCATAATAGACTTACACAGGRCCTCATATACAGTACGCATGACTTCCATAGGTAGAATTTTGTTCAATTTATAGAATTTGAAAATTACAGATCTCAAGCGCATTACTGTATTTTCAATATGTATATTCCATCTCAAATTAGAATCTATAATAACACCCAAATACTTTGTACGAGTTACTCTTATTATTTCTTGACATTTGCAAGTATTAGAGTTAATATTACCACATGTATGTATAAGAATATTATTTATGGTCATTAAGGTGTTATTGATAGAGAAAGCAATAAAATTGGTTTTTTTAATGTTTAAGGTTAGTTTTTACTGTTTAGCTCTTGGAATATTCTATTTAAACCTATTGTAGTTTTCTCTTTTACTGTTTCGCAAGACTTTCCGGAAAAAAGAAGGCAAGTGTCATTAGCATAGGTAACCACTAATCCACCTGTATTTAAGTCGCAAATAGTATTAATATATAAGATAAATAAAATTGGTCCTAAAACACTGCCCTGTGGGACACCACAATCAATTTTCTTTTTATTACTTAATTCGTTATTTACTGAAACTAACTGTGTTCTATTCTCCAGATAGCTAGAGAACCAGTTTCTTTCCTCATTTATTCCAAAACCTGACAAAATATTAATTAATTCACCATGGTCTACAGTATCGAAAGCTTTAGTCCAAAACTATTGCTATAACTTTTTCACACTAAAGTCGTCGCGTGTTGAATTACTTTATGGATGGCTTGGCTTTCAGCAGAGAAAATGCTGGTTTCAGGTGGAGGTTTGAACATAAAGTTTTTGTTATTTTCTACGAAGGCGAATCCAGTTCCATGGGAAGATTTTGAGGYGTCTGTAAAGATTTTTGTATGCTGAGGGTATTTTTCTTCAATAATTTCTGAAAATTTATTTCTAATAATTGAGGTTGAGGTGATTTTTTTTTTGAGTTCAAGTAGTTGAGTATTGGGTCTGAAATTCTATATTTCTTCTATCGCCTTATTAGTGTGTGTTAATATTTTATAACTGTATATTAGGTAAATGGGCCTCAATGTTTTTTTTGTATTATTGGTGGTCCACACAATTAAATGGAAACTTAAAGTCTACAGTATTATGCACAGTGAAATGTTCAAATAATTAATAGTTTTTATGGTCTGAATGTTTAAGCTATTTATAATGCCTACGTCACGCATCACACCTTTAGAATAAGACTGCCACAACTCACAATTCATCAATAGCTACTTATGGCTACTGTTAAAAGTACTGAAAAAAAGTGATCTATATAATACCATATTATAATTTTTAAATCGCTAAAAAGATGTGTCAGTATATTAAATGATATAATAATTAGCTAATTTTTAAATCAATAGAACTATATTTACTTTGTTATGTGTATTAAAATAACTTAACTAAATACGACTCCTATTCATTAGTTTTTTTTCGTGAACACAAAGATCTTTCATTTCATTAGYCATTAGGAACAGTGTAAATATTAAACATCCAATAGTAATATACGTATAACTAGCTATTTCCCGTATCAAAATGAGCAAAACAAGACAATTAATATCACTGTGTTTCACGTATTTGTTTATTTTTCTTCAAATATTTTTAATTTGTAATATAAGTTTACTTTAATATAATATCACTGCGGTTACGTCTCTGTACCATTTTCGTATATTATATTTTTGAATTTATTATCTATCCTTTGTATTAAAATGATGTATAGTTTGTATGGTGTGAATAAACAATGCAATTGTATATTTTCTAGTACCTACATAAGTAATATTATTGGCATATTATATGAATCAAATCACTGTAGCAATACAAATTCCTGTACATCGCACATGAATGTTGTTATTATTATGATTCTATTTCGAAATATGAAAGTAAGTATCTTGTCCGGCCGTGGAGTTAATGCAGTGGTACAGTGGTTATAATAATTTTTAAGCTAAGCCTCCGACGGCGACGTTTCAATTGTACGTAATTGTTTTACGAGTTAATTCATATATGTTTTTTTTTATATATATATCATTATAGAAACATGTTCATGTTAATTTTATATTTTTCCGTAGCCATATTAAGCTACATATTATGATGTTCTTATTGTACTTGAAAATGGGAAAGGCTGAATTATAGTGGGTACTCACCTCCCACAAATATAAATTCATTTTTATATGAAAAAGTTCATAAAATTTACAATCATATTTTTTACAGTGGCGTATATATAAAATTTGTATGAAATAAAATGGAAAAAACCTTACTAATGTTACCAATATATAAAAAGAAATGTAGATTAAGATATTTATAAGAGTAGTTTTAAACAATTTCATTATGTCTTATACGCCGATCACCGAAGTACACAAATAAACGAACAAATTAATAATTATAAGCACTTTTATTAAACACTTTGACGTCCGGTGGTAATCGAGTGGCCCTTTTTCTATGTCTTTACACTCTGACCCTTTTTCTATGTCTACATAATTCTTAAATATTAATCTTAAAATCGAAAACACTACAATCGAATAAGTATAATCGATATTTAACTTAACCTAGTTACATATTTTGACAATGATTAAATTATAGATAATTGTTATTATATTACCTAATTGTTTTCTTAATCTAGTTGCATTTATGTTTAATGTTATTAATATAGAATTTTAACTGTTATGCTTATCTAACTATTACCTGCAGTTGTTTTCTTAACCTAGTTTTTACTTACTAACATTTATTATTTTTACATCCTTTTAACTTATATCTATATTAAACGCTTAATACAACAATTATTAGGGTGTGGATTTAAATACTCAAAAAAACTAAGAAATACGCATTAAAAAAATACAATATTTAATAATGTTGTTACAAGGATTAAACAAAAAGGCTTTTAAAATTTGTTTCTAACAACATTTTTAGTGAAAATGATTAACACAAAATTTAGTAATTGTATTATTTAAATGTGATAATTATAAATGAAGCATTAGAACCAGGCATCGATAACATAGCAAATATGTTAGCTTTTCTAAGAAAAACCGGCATATACAATACAATTTATCTTTCTGCTAACGATAACCATACTACCTATTAATGTTATTGGAAATCACACAAAATTAACACGATATTAATTGTATAATTTTAGTTCTAAAAATCACTCATTATGTAGATATTAAACAAAAATTAATAACTTTTGCTGTTGATGTTTTTAAGTTCATTAAAAAAAAATGTTATAATTATGATTTTTTTTTTTTTTAAGAAAACGACAGTTATGTACTATCTTTAATATATTTCTGCCTAGGCAGAATGATCAATTGACATTTTAGACCGTGTTGTACCATTTGCATACCCACCGATTTGGTCAGGTGTACAGCTAAAAACTACGTGATAACTAGAACTTGGATTTTAAGCATAATAAATAACAAAAAATCACAAAATTAATTTAAAAAGCAAAAATGAATTATATTTATTTATTTATTTTTTTTTTAAAGCAAAAATAAAGCATGACCAAAAATTAACATAAATTAGTTATATAAAACTGAATAGAATATATTGAAAACTTAATTTAAATTWAAAAAATAATTCACTACCATGTATTGGCAAGATTTTAAGAAGTGAAACTGACTCTTTTGTCTGACATAATATTTTTATACATATAGAAAACCATGCAATAATATATTAATTTAGTTGGTACTGCGTGTTCCAGAT